GCATATCTTTTGCATCAAATGGTCCCGACCCCACTGGTCAAGATTGAGTGATTCATTTCTCATTTTTCTTATTCATTTGTTTTTTGGATTTGATCTCTATGTATGGTTAATTGTGGTTGGTGAGTTGTCTTGTCGAGACTTGTATTGATTTGTGAGTGAGAACTTTTCGTTTGCACGTTCTTAATGCATTCGAATGTCGTTTGTGGTGGATGACAGTATTGTTTGTGATTGTCCAAGTGTTGATGCCCAATAGCCATTGAGATTCACCAGCTTTGAGCCCTTTGATGTGTCCCCAAGTTATCTTGTTAGGTTGAGATATTACCTTGTTTGAAATTGGTTTGTTTGGGACAAACAAACGTCTAAGTGTGGGAGAGTGATTCGAGTCCAATTGCACACATTTTACCCCCTTATTCTTTAGACGTTTGACATTTTTTCACTCATTGAGGTTCGGTTTTACGATAGGTTGTGCTTATTTCTAGTGTGTTTCAGATCCTAGCAGATGGAATCGACCTTTGGAACGAAAGTTGGATGCAAAAGGACGAAAACAGATAGAAGAGAAGAATTAGCTGAGGATCACGATGGAAGCCTAGTTTTCATGGTCAGCCAGATTGTGATAATGGAGCTCCCACCATGAAGGGACATTTTCTAGAAATATCACTTTTAAAAAAAATTACAAAATACCACCCAACCCCGAAAAATTCCAAAAATACCACCATTCTTTGTTCTCGGATATCCGATTATAGCAAAAAAAAAAAATTGATTCCGCATAACTTTTCGAGATCTTGCAAGGCGCAAACCGCCGTATTTGTTACCCCGAATGGGCTTTTTCGATTTTTTCAAACTTTGGCCATCCATAACTTTGTGCTCCGAAATCCGAACGACATGAAATTTTTTTTGATTCCGCATAACTTTTCAAGGACTACAACTTTTACTAGGAATAAACTTTCAAAACAGGAATTGTTTTTGGATATACGTGGTTTTGGGATAACTTTACCTTCCCTTTTCACTAATCAACATACATTCCGAAATTATGTCTATGATAAAATTTTAGTGCTTGAAAATTTAGGCGGAATAATTTTTTTTTTCATGAAGTTTGGATTTTGGAGCACAAAGTTATGGTCGTCCAAAGTTATTGAGGATTTAGTTGTGCAAAATTGTTTCAACAAAAGAGTTGTAGTCTGGTGGCGTAAATGTTGTGCTGAATTTAGTTAATTGTTTATTATCTAGGTTCGAACAACCACAACATGCTTCTTTTTTTTTATCTCTACTAAATATAAAATTTAGGGTTAATACCTTATTGGACTTTGCTACGGTGACATGCATGTCACGGTGACATGCACTTTTCGGTCGACCTCATATAGGATCAGGTCGACCTAATCAGTTGTTTCAGTGTACAAACAGTTTCATGGTGCCTACTTTGGAGATTCATATCTTACAATTGGCTAGATGGAAATTGGAGATTAAAGGCTTGTTTTGAAGCTGAAGTGTCCCTCTACACATTAAAGTACTTGGGAGCTCAATAGAAAGTCCAGAAGACCATTTTTGAACCTGACCAAAAGGCTATGCCAAAACTGGGAAACTGCCTGAAAATGGCTAAGTCTGGCAACATGTTTGTCAAGCCTACTTTGGAGCTCAAATAATCATAGATTGTGGTTGGGATGGCAACTCGTCTTTCTCCTTCTTCTCCAGCCATTGGTGATGGTGTAGAATATGATGAAGAGGCTCTTTCTTCTTCAGAATTGAACTTGCAATCGTCGTCAATGAACTCCTCATCTTCCAAGCTTGGCTCAAAATTGGTGTGACTTGAAGGCTCCTCTTCTCATGATCTATATTCTCCTTCCTTTGAAGTCGAGATGGGTGAACTCGATGCTCCTCCTTCTTGGACGATCTTTTGAACTATCTTTAGGTTTTCTGTTTTTCTTCTAGTAATTACTGTACTCATATGAGAACCTGCAAAACAAACTAAACTAAAACTAATGAAGAGACATAAGATGTTTAGATGCTTTTATATATGATCAGAAATCCTCAGCAACAGTGCCAAAAACTTTATGCAAGCAACATGCAAGTGATCATAAAAATCCTAAGATGCCCTAGGGTCGTATTCCGCAATATCTTCTAATGCATAATTACTCACACCAAACCATCAAACTCGAACAAGAATATTAAAGACCATTAGGGTATTTCGAGTAAAGCATCAAAGCAAAGCCAAAAAAGTAAATATTGTTTAGGGATTTTCAAGTTATATAGATTCATCAAAGTAAAGATAGGTTATTGAATAGAAAAGCATACTCGAGTTAAACATATATATTAACACTCATTCATATCATGCATCAATGACTCATCTATAGCATCATTGTATCTCTTATACTAAGGCCATCTTACTCGACCTTTTGCGACATGCAATAAGAACTTGACTACCTAATGTGTGCTTTCTTTTCATACCATCGCCTAATTAATGAAGAAAAAAGTAGTGAGGATAGCACATGATTAAGCGTAGATATCTAGAGCCATAATTGATGGTCTATAGTATCGACAATGCAGTCAAAAGCGCGATTCTACCTAGAAGCGGAAAAGGGATAAAATCGTAAAGCGTAGAATCAAAGCGTAAAACCGTAAGTTTTTGACGCATACTGAAAAATTACTAAAAATCTATTAAGTAGGACATATACTATGTAAAATATGAATGCACATAATTTAGATAAGTTAAAAAATACATGCAATTCATGTCTAAAGTAGAGCAACTTATAACATCTTAATAATAAGTTCGTAAACATAAATTTTAACAACAAACAAATTTTCCCTCTATGCTAATGAATTTGGAAGAGCCTAGCTGGTGAATTAGATTACTCTATTGAAGTTGAGAATGCATCCAAGTACCTGGTATGTATCTTTTAATCTAAAATGTATCATATTGTTGGTGATTTACTTTTAAATATACTTTTTATAATTCATTTCATGAAGGGAATACTCATTTAGTCAACTAAAAGCATAAAAACGTAAAACGTTTTGGTGAACTAAAAGCTTAAAAGCGTAAGCTTTTAAGCTTTAAAGTGCAATTTAGTCCGATTTTATACACTTAAGTTTTTATATGGAAACGAAAGCGTTTTGGTGACCTAAAAGCATAAAATCGTAAGTTTTTAAGTTTTAAAGCGCGATTTTGACTGCATTGAGTATCGATGATCTAACAATCAAGCATTGATAATACTCGAGGGTGGACGAGTTGAAGAGACGAAGAGAGAGGACGAAGAAGAGGGAAAACGAAGCAAGGAGAGGGTAGGTTTAGGGTTCTGAGTAAGAGGATATGATATGTACATTAATATGGGTACAATTTAATGTGGTACATGTATTATTTCCAAAATTACCATTGATATCATCTTGACAGTCAATTTAAAAAAAGGATAAAGAGAAGGAAATCAAAGGTGGCTACGCAGGTTGAAAATTAACTTTAACAATATATATTAGGACTTTGCTACGGTGACATGCATGTCACGGTGACATGCACTTTTCGGTCGACCTCATATAGGATCAGGTCGACCTAATCAGTTGTTTCAGTGTACAAACAGTTTCATGGTGCCTACTTTGGAGATTCATATCTTACAATTGGCTAGATGGAAATTGGAGATTAAAGGCTTGTTTTGAAGCTGAAGTGTCCCTCTACACATTAAAGTACTTGGGAGCTCAATAGAAAGTCCAGAAGACCATTTTTGAACCTGACCAAAAGGCTATGCCAAAACTGGGAAACTGCCTGAAAATGGCTAAGTCTGGCAACATGTTTGTCAAGCCTACTTTGGAGCTCAATTTGACAAGCATGGATGCGAGCCAAGTCCAGGGGCCTTTACCACGTTAAATTACGTATTTTTTTATACAAAGGCAAGGCATTGAATGAAAGATTGAATATCTTTAAGGCTTCAAACAAAAGGCTCGAAGTTGCTACGAAGCCTGTTTTTCTGGTAGCTTGCTTGTGCTCGAAGTCTGCCAGAAAAACAGCCTTCGTAGCAACTTCGACCCTTTTGTTTGAAGCCTTAAAAATATCCAATCTTTCATCCAATTCCTTGAATTTGTATAAAAACATACCTAATTTAATGTGGTAGAGGCTCCTGGACTCGACTCGCATTCATGCTTCTCGAATTGAGCTAAAAAATAGGCTTCACAAACACGTTTCCAGACTTAGCCATTTCTAGGCAGTTTCCCAGTTTTGGCATAGCCTTTTGATGAGGTTCAAAAATGGTCTTCTGGACTTCCTATCGAGCTCTCAATCACTTCAATATGTAGAGGGACACTCTAGCTTCAAAACAAGTCATTAGTCTTCAATTTCCATCTAGCCAATTGTATGATATGAATATCCAAAGTAGGCACCATGAACTGTTTTTACACTAAAACAACATATTAGGTCGACCGGATCCTATATGAGGTCGACCGAATCCTAAATGAGGTCGACCGGATCCTATATGAGGTCGACCGAATTCTATGTGAGGTCGACCTAATCCTAACTGAGGTCGACCGGAAAGTGCAAGTCACCGTGACATGCATGTCACCGTAGGCACACCCTACCTTATTTTGGCCCGAACTATAACCATATAATCAACTTTGGCCCGTGGTTTTAAAAATTAACATCATGGACTCAACTATACAACATATAGATTCAATTGGCCAGACGCGTGTTTTGACCATCAATTTGGACGGTCAACACCGTTGACTAACGGTCAACGATCCAGCTCACTATCATGTTAGCACCAAATTAAAAATACATTCAAATTACAAATTATTTTCATATTTTCTTTATATGATTAGATAATAAATAAAAATAGAAATCGAACAATTCCACCACTCAAATTCTCTCTCTCTCTCTCTCTCCCGTTGAATTCCCCTTTCTTTATCTCTTACAACTAAGGCGGCCTTCCCTTTCTTTTTTCAGTCTGAACGCCTGGAAATTTGATAATCATAGATAGACAAAGATCCCGAAGGAGACACGCCACCAATGGCGGAGCATTCCCGCAGCTATGTTCGCGCCTGAGCCGAGAAGAGCTGGGGGCCGACGAGGTGGTGGTGGTGGCATGCGAAATGGCAGGGGAGGAGACAGATCGTCGATTAATCCGGTCATCGTGCTCTGCGGGAACGGGAACGGAGGCGAGGGAGGAGGCAGTGGATGCGAGTTCTATTATGACGACGACGCCGAATCTAGATTGAGACCGTTGCTGCCAAGCATGTCGGACAATCTGCTCAGATATGGATTTGAGAGGCTGTAAGATCAGTTGTCGCATATCGAATTGAACGGTTTTGAGTCGGTACGAGCATCCCCCGACGTCGAAGGCGTTGTGAAGACGACAGGGATCTTGTGCTTGAGGGCGTGAAGGACGAGCTTGATGTAGGCGTTCTAAGCCATCTCGAACTCGAGCTCCCCAGCGCGGCGCCGACCATCTTCAACAGCTCCTGCATTTGCTGGGATTTGATTCGGCTCCTATACTTCAAGCTCTTAGGCGAGTCGTACGGGAGCGATTGAAAGGGGATCTGGAAAAAATAATGGATATTGGGGAGGGATAAGAGTGTTCGCCACTCGCCAGATTCATGTGTTAATGGCCAATTTGTATTTTATATTTTTATAATTTTATAATTTGGTTAATTTGAAAATGATAAATAATAAAAATTAGAAAAATAATTTGGATTTGAATTTTTTAATTATTTTTAGGCTGACGAGGCAATGACATGGCAGGTTGACTAACAATCAACAGTGTTGACCGTCCAAATTGATGGTCAAAACACGTGTCTGCCAATTGAGTCTATATGGTGTATAGTTGAGGCCAGGATGTTAATTTCTAAAGCCACGGGTCAAAGTTGATTATATGGTCATAGTTCGGGCCAAAATAAGGTATTAACCCTAAAATTTAATATGCAATGATGGTGTTTCGAACCTAAGACTTCTGGCACACAAAAAAACAACTAATACAATTGTGCCACAACCAATTATAGTCTTTGTGGGGAAAACAAAAAATATATAGCAAACCGCCCCGGCGCCATGCGATTAGTAAAATCGCCCCCTACCCATGCAGTTTTTGTCGAAAACCGCACTTCACCCAGCAGTTTTCGAGAAAGGGTGGTATTTTTGCAATTTTTTGTACATGGGTGGTATTTTTGGAATTTTTAGTGGTATTTCTGGAAAAAAATCCATCATAAAGTGTAGAGGATCCAGAACCTTCCGCGCGCCTCGCTGGGCTAAATGAAATCACGGGCACTCGACCGTGATAATTCTCTCCAGACCGTGAAGAGTTTAAGTGAAACGACACATTTTTGTCCAGGAACAAGGTACAGGCTTGGAGTTACAGCCTTGAACTGTGACCGTGAAAAGTCGTCGATCTGGGTAGAAAAGTGGAGAAGCCTAATTGAGTTGAAAGAAGAGGGGGAGAGCCTAGTGTGAGAAAAACTTCTTCTTCCTCAAATTTCTAGAGAGAGAAAGGAAGAACAAGAGAGGAGAAGAAGGTTAGGGTTTCCTTTAAGCTCCAAGATTTGGGAATTTCATCCTCCAAGGTTGATCTCCACGCCAAAGGAAGAAGGCAACCCTCTCAAGATGGTCTCTTCTCTTCTCCTTTGTGTATTCCCACATTTTAGCATGGAGTAGTTGCCTTCTTTCACTTGGTTGTGTTTTAATGCAAGTATTGAGGTATTTTCATGAAGGTTGTGTTGTGTTTTCCATTTCCAACTCTTATGCCAATTTGACCTAGGAAGAGGGAAATCCCCTTCTTGTTAAGAGGCTTTCAAAAGCTAGAATTTTTTTTATTATGGCGATGGTTGGATTGTAATAAAACGAAAAATGTTAGTACAAAGAGAAGAAAGAAAAACAGCAACACAAGAGGTGGTGGCCATAAAGACAGAGGAGAAAAGTGTGCTAGGCAAACCGAAAACCCCCTGCACCCTCGAGACAAGGTGAAGAAGAACAAATAAATCAAAATGGGAACAAAAACAAGGACATCGAAATAGCCAGCGCAAGCGAGGTGGACACCCCAGCCAAAATTCTCAAGAGCTAAAATGAAAGCAGTCATTCATCCCTGCAACAACCCTTAACAACTGACGGCAAAGGGGAGACAACTCAAAAACAAAAGGATATTCGGTTGCACCTGAAAAGCCCAGGCACGACTAGGCGGTCTGGCTGACCGTGATAATTGAGCCACCTACTTAGGTCGAATTAGGGCAAACCTCATAATACGTTTTGACACCTTAGGTAGGTTGTATCTTGGTCGTCCAGACTATAGTTCGATAGAGAAGTCTAAGCAACCCTTAGTCGATTGGCCAAGAGAGCTACTTTGGTAGCATGATTTGATATCTCTTGGCCTAACGACTGAGAGAGTGAAGCATTTTCACTTGTTGCGCTTCCCTACGGTTTACAACCACTCATATCACACACTTGCATTCGGTTCGACAATTTATGATTACTAGATAGGGGGTGGTGCTCAAAACCATTTACATTTCCAATTGCTTTTAATTATAGTCCATGGTTTTAACCAAAAATTGATTGCTAGATAATGTTTCAAACAGTTGAAGTAGGGGTACATGGACGAAATGGGTTAGGGTGATTACTTTTTTTTAGTAATCATGGTGGCAACTTCTTTATATACCATTTGATTAATTATTTTCCCTTCTTTTTTAATCTTACGATCAAGATTCTTTTAGGGTAATTTTGGAAATTAAAAAATGACCACACCTGATTATTCTATATAATCTACCCAAACCCTAGTTCTGTCCTCCCTCCTCCGTCAGCCACCACCGCCTAGAACTTCTCTCCTCCTCGAGAAGTCTCCCTTTTCATCAAATCAGCCGACATGGGTACGCCAGAGACATCCAGGGAGCCCTGCCCAGACCGCATCCTCGACAACATCGGCGGAGCTTTCGGCATGGGCGCAGTCGGCGGCTCCGTCTTCCACTTCATCAAAGGGGTTTACAACTCCCCCGTCGGGACTCGCCTGACCGGCGGAACCCAGGCCGTCCGGATGAATGCGCCCCGCGTCCGCGGTAGCTTCGCCGTCTGGGGCGGCCTCTTCTCGGCCTGGGTGGCGCTGACGAGGGCGACGATGCTGGAGACGAGGGCGAAGCTGATGCTGAGAAGTGGGGTTTTCGATGTTGGGGATGATTTGACCAAGAAGGCGATTTTCAATAGGGCTTCCATTTGTGGGGAGAATCATCATGATACGCTTGCAGCGAGGGAGACGTTGAGTAAGCTTGGGAGGTTGATTGCGAAAGTTCAGACGACGGCCGGTGGTAATAATAATAATGCTTCTTCCCCGCCGTAGACGGCGGCGGCGGCCGGAGGGTGTTTCGGTTGTGATGAAACGTTATGATAACAACATGATATTCATTCATCTTCGTTTGGTAGTGTGACACTTTAGATTGGTATTGGTTCATTACATGTGTATTAGTATTAGCAAAGCTAGTCTGGTAGTTCTTCAAAGTCTAATGATACTGGTTCAAACCTCAATGTTCATAATTCTCTTCATATATGCAATGGTATAGATTGTTTATATTGGTAGTTTTCGTGTAATGGTATAGATTTATTTCTGCAATGATATTGATTGTTTATGGTATAGATTGTTTATATTGGTAGTTTTCATGTAATAGTATAGATTTATTTCTGCAATGGTAGTTTTCGTGTAATGGTATAGATTTATTTCTGCAATGGTAGTTTTCGTGTAATGGTTGTCTAATGGGTTGGTACTGATTTCGTGTTTTTTTTTTCCAGAAAGATTGAGAAAAATATGGAAAGGAGATCTGGCTGGAGATTAAGGAAGTGAGAGAAAAAGAGAGAATTTTAATTAATAGATTTTTGTAACTACCTAAAATGTAATTTATTAAAAAATTAATTAATACAATTTATTTTTTCATACCCAATTTACCCTTAGTAACCACGGTGATTACTACAAAAGTAGTAATCACCGTAACCGCTCCCGTACATGGACTGCCGGGTTTGAAATTTAAAACATATTTTTCCAATGTTGCACTCGGCTAAAGTTTATACTTGGGCCCTAATTAGGATTTAAATTGTGGTATTTGGGACGAGTCACAACTCGATCATAATTTAAATTGTGGTATTTGGCACCAAATCATTGCATCTCTTAGGGCCAATCAAATTGCACCTAAGCCCCTTCTTAATGCCCCATCAAATTGCATTAGCAAACCCCTGGAGGACACGCCACAACAGCTGACGACTATGAAGATTGTGTCATAAACTAGTTGGTCCCAGTAACTCGAGTTGTTGGGACTGCAGTATAGTGGCTCAAGTAATAAATATCGAATCCACGGGTCTCTAGAGTTACTATTACTCAGCTTCAGTTCATTATCTAGCAAACCATATTAAGATGAAAGAACTAAAACTACTCTAACAAACTACAGTTAAGGTTAATCTAATTACAGGTTGGGAACTCACTTAGGTATGATTCCCCCAGCCACTAGCCAGATTAATGATTAATGATCTCTAACATGTTTCACTTTCATCCACAATGCGGAGAATCCTTGACTAGACCTTGAGTCTCGACTAAAGGAACAAGGCCCTCTTGAGTCAATTGCCTAGAGGGACGTATCCTTCTCTAGAACAACCGATCAAGGCGTTCTGAACTAAACTCCCTCTATCGAAAGAGGTTCTCAATCGATACAAAGCAGTGAATCAACCCTCGACTAAAGCAATCGATCCACTACTATCAATCTATGGTGCTCTGTTGACCTAATCAGGTATTCGCTCTCATAGGATCAAAGTAGAATCAATAATCTCGACTAAAGCAGAATTGAATCATGAAAACATGCATAGATTGAATATGAACTCAAGATTATCAAGTAAGAGTACTCATACAATCATCCAATCAAACAAACATAGCTAGGGTTCCTCAAAACCTAAGTGAAGGGAAGTTACTCCATAGAGAAGAGAGAGACTGCAGTAAGAATCTTCAGATGATCAGTCTTCAAGTCCGGGCTTGTTCCTCGAGCTTCCAAAGCGAAGAAATCCTCCAATTCCACTCCAAGAATGCCCTCAAATCGCCCTCTCTCTCTTTGGTTCGTCCCTTGGGTGTTTGGGATCCAAAAACTAGCTCTCCCTTTCCTTTGGCTTCAATCTGCCTAAAAAACCCGATTCTGGGCAAAACACCGTCGAGGACACGGCCGTGTTTTGCTTTTGCCCGCCCGTGTTTTTCCCCGTGTTAAAAACACGCCCGCGCGTGTCGGCCAAAACACGATCGTGCCTAAATATGGGCACGGCCGTGTTTTGATTTAAGCGCGCCTGTGTTTATACTGCCGAACCTGTTCCCCTATATTCAATGCTTCGTTTCTCCCTCGTCCGGACTCCGAATCAGTCGCCGTTTGATCCCAGACGCTTGTAGTCTCGTCCTATTTCTTATCATGATAAGCTTGCATGATAATTTGTCCATAAATGAGGCAGAAATCCATTCTTCTTCAGGTCATGCCCGAGTTTCTTCTCCCGAATCGCCAATTGATCTCTGATTGACTTGAAACTTGCGCCTATACTTCACTTTATGTGCTAGGACCTGAAATGTGACAAAGTAACACAACCTAGCGTAAAATAGGCCAAAGAAGCGATAATTAAAGCTCAAACGATCAAGAAACAAATGGGAAAACATGTGCAAATATCGAGTCATCACAAAACAACAACCAACTCAAAGCGCTAAAACGTAGTATGAGGTTTGCCCTAATTCGGCTTAAGTAGTTGGCTCAATTGGCCAAGGAATTCCAACTTATAAAAGCCTCTTAGCAAGAAAGGGATTTCCCTCTACCTAAGTCAAATTTGCACAATAGTGAGAAATGGAAAACACAACTAATCCATCATGAAAATACCTAAATACTTGCATTGAAACACAACCCACATAGAAGATATTCGATTCATACAATCTATCACATACAAAGATCTAGGGTTCATAATACCCAAGTGAAGAGGAACTCTACTTCATAGCTAGGCAAACGAAAACAACAAAGATGAAAGAAAGAACCATGGTGGATGCTTGTATTCCCTCCTTGTTTATGAGAATTCCCTTGAGAGTTAAGAAACTTCACTCCTCTAGCTTGAAGTAAGCCCAAATTTTCTTCTCCTCTCCTTGTTGATCACTCTCTCTCTCTAGATTTTGAAGAAGAAGAAATTTCTCTCACTAGGGTTTCCTCTTTGAGGTTTCTTCAGCTGGACTCCTAGAAGGGAACCCAAAAAGTGTAAAACCAACCCCAGATCCAACCTCCTCTTCTCTCTCCCAGCAGCCTTCTATTTATATAGCTCGGCAGTCACTTTCACAATCCGAACATCACGGCCATGACTTTGGAGCTCAAACCGTTATGTCGGAAAACGCAGGTCGTTGGAACCGTTTTGGTCCGACATCACGGTCACTGGAAAATTATCATGGTCAGGCGACCGTGATAATCTTCAGGCCCGCGTGATGCCAAAATGCTTTTGTTTCCAGCGAATTTCACGCCCATCTTGAGACTTTTCTTCACTTTTTTGGCGCTTTTCGACTCCATTCGTCCCGAAACTCGTCCTCAACCCTTCAACACGTGCTAGGATCTGAAACGTCTAAAAAATAACACAACCTAGCGTAAAATAGGTCAAGGGACAATGAAATGCAAAGTCAAACTATTAAGAAATGAGAAGTAAAATGTGTGCAATTAGCCCCGAATCATTCAACAGTATTCGAGCAAACATGGCATATAGAAGAAGAACACAAGGACCTTGTCTGGAGAATCGCTCTCAGGAACAAGAAACCTCGCACAACCCACCACAAGAAAAACTTCAGCTTCTGAGGGATGGTAGATTCCATAATGATTTCCATATTTTTTTCCATACGTGGTAGAAGTCTATCGAATTGCTCATGTCGAGATGCATATTATAACTTGTAACCCGTTTTCACGGTGTACTCAGGTTTTGTGGAGTACAACTATGCATTTAACCTATGGATTGGGGATCGAGAGGAAGGGAGAGGGATTCAAAGAATCCATCACCCACTTTCAGCACCAAATGTTGCACATATCAAAGTTCCATTCCAATTTTTTGTGAGTGGATGAATGAGATAGAAGCTACGTAAGGATTAGTTAGACAACCACCCAAGAGAAGAATAGGTGAGGAAGGTGGTGTTTTTGGAAGCCAAGGGAAGGGACCTTAAGAATAAGAATTGTTTTCCCACATCCGACCTGCCACTGAAGAACCCTCCTTAAGGAGATGACGGCCTTCAAGGACCCCTGTCAAGCCCAAGATGGACAATTACCCGAGCAGTAAGGAAATTAAAATGGAGATAATATCGTGCCTTGTATATCCATGCAAGCGTGGAATTAGGAGACTTAAGAACCTTCCAAATTTGCTTGGCCAACATTGCCATATTGAACTAATCAAATTTCCCAAAGCCAAAAGCCCCCATGAAACGTACACATATAGCCGGACACGAGATCCATTGTATCCCATCATCCTTATCCTAACATGCCCACCAAAACTCAGCTAATTGGCTATTCAATATACGACAACTCGTTGATGGAAGTCGAAATGAAAACATAGTACAAATCAGTGTTGTAGAGCCAGCCACACTAATCACCACCTCTTTAGCCGCCAAGGAAAGGGCTTTAGATCTCCAACTCTGAATGCAAGCATAGCAAGAGCGTCTTCCACAAACTGAAAGGTAGGACTTTGAACGCTGGATCGGAGTAGGCAACCCTAGATATTTTTCGGAACATTAAAGCTGAAACATATCGATGATTTATGCAGATTAACCCTTTGTCCACTAGCATCCTTATACAATCTCAACATATGAATAGATGAGCATATTTAGTGGTAGAAGCTTGGAGGAATAAATAAGAGTCATCGGCGAAGAAAAGATGTGAAGTAGTATCTTCAGTCCATGAAGCTGTTGCAAACCTAGAGCATTAAAAAGCATACCAAAATTGCTACTAAGCTAAATGACTGTGGTTGTATATATTTTTAGTAGTTATTTTCCCCACATAGAAACACTCACTAATAGAGAGAGGCAACAACGAAAGATGAAAGAGAAATTTTATTAATTTATTAAGTTTCTAAAATACCGAATGAGTCCTTCATTATTTATCACTGTAATATTTAATTTAAAATCAATGAATGATGATTAGAGTAGTTAGTATGTTGCTAACTCCTATAAAATTAGCACCAGTGAACCTCATTACTAGGGGTGAGTATTGGGTGGTTAAACCCACAAATCCACCCACAATCGACCCACCCATTATCATGTCTGGATGGCTAAACATCGCCCTACATTTACTATTATCGCCCTAATATAAAACATAAAAC